AATGAGTTTTTATTTTGCATGAAAAACTGTTGTATAAACATAAAAGGGAATTTATCAAAGTACTAATGTTACAGATGAGTATAATATTTTAACTGAACAAGGAATTGACTGTGCTACGGTTGCTTTTGCAAGCTCCCATGCTGAAAACTCTCTGTGCTTTGAAACACCATGACCATTGTGCACTCTGTCATGTGCAATGACAAGCCCTTCCCTTGGACATCCATCTGTTTAATGGAAATATCAACACTTTCTCTTACAGAGGTGCTCTGAGAATAAATATATTTTCAGCTCCTTGTGATCTTTACACAATTTTTGAGACCGTTTAATTAACTAAGTATAAATTAAAACTAGCCAAAGTTTTTCAATAGACACCATCACAATTTAGTATCCAATGGCTGATGTTATATGTGACATTGAAAAGGAAATGTATTCATTTTCTTGTTGCACATAATTAATTGGAGTTTATGTGCACAAGTGTAACTTGTAATTATTTTTTATTAGCTGAAAGATATTTCCATAACAGAATTTATCCTTTTTCCATTTTATCTCAAATAAATTTAGATTCTAAAAATACAAGAGATATCATTTAAAGTCTGCAGGAATAAGATGGCCATGGCTTGCCTCTGACTCTCTACTGAAAATACTTTTTGTCTCTGGAGGGATCAGATTGAGATGCTCCTGAGTAATACATTGTGGGAGTTTTTCCTTTAACACAGCTGTTGTTTTTATCATTTGCCAATGGTTTAAAACAATTGTGATTTATCAGATAGGGAAACAGAAAGTAGATGTAGTACTCCTTGCCAGATTTTGCAGAGATTGAGATCTGGATTGAAGTCTTTGTCTTGAGAAAAAAAAATATATTTCCTGTTTTATTATCTTTTCTGAAATTAAAAAGATGTGACTGGAGTTGGGGTAGAAGTAGAATTTGCTCATGCTATTCTAGACCTGGAATAACAGTTCAAACACCATTTCAGATTTTAAGACTTGGTCCAGTAAGAAAACTTTGATATGGGCTGCTGCAGTAGATGTAATTATACGTGTATGTGTGTACATATGTATATGTGTATTTTATATGTATATGTGTGTATATGCATATTTATACTATATATAATTACATGTATACATGTATACACTTCTGTAATTATATAATTATGAAGCTAAAGTTAAGTAACACTTTACTTTTTTATGTCACTCTGAACGTCCCTGTCAGTGTATGACTTATGACTTATTAAATTGTTGAGAGGCAGGAAATTCAATATACTCATGCAGAATTATCTTTTTTTTTAAAATTTTCCCATTTTTTGAAATTTCTTAGAACAAGTTAAAGGAAACATCTGCATCATAATAATTTGGTTTGAATTAATTGCTCATGTGAACAATGCTATACACATGCGAAGGCAATAAGTTCCACCAGAACATAAACAGTGTGTGAGCTGTGTGACACAGCTGAATGAGAGATCACAGAGTACATAGATTTTGATATTTTCTCATTTTTCACTCCCTTATGTGTCTGTGGCCTTTCTTTAAGAGATAAGTAGAAAAGGAAGATTTGTTCACTGGATGCAAAGGAGATGTATTTTGTAATCTTCTGGGCCCTTTTCCTTACTGTCACATACAACAATGTCCTACTACTTTAGGAGAGAAAAGGATTCATCTTCTCAGCAGGGCTGAGTAGTTGCTAAGAGACTTTAGGTTTGAAATCCAAAGACCTTGTCTGAGGATAATTAAGCTGTGAATTTGAGTGTCTGTGATTATAAAGGAATTAGGCATGACCTTCTCTTCTTTTGTGAAACCTGTTAGAAAACAGTTGGATTTTAAAATCAATATGCAGTTTTACTAGGACTGTTTAACTTAAATTGGTATAACTTTTAATTTACAGTCAGTATTTGTTCATATTGAATTAGCATATGTAACAATACTATTGTCCAGACACATTTTTTCTTACATTTTAAGGGTATTTTTTTCTAAGGTTTTTGCCTTTAGTCTATAGCCCATGACTCTCATATCTTTGGTTTAACATTGAGGTGCATATAAACTCCCTTCTCCAGCCTTCCTTTCACCCAGGTATGAAATATGAAATTCTACTGATTTCACTTTCTTCATAATTTGATAGAATGTCCTAGTGCTTCGAGATAATGGCTTATGGTCTGCATGAGATAGGTAAAAAGTAGTTCAGGAATTTCTGTGATGTGAAGATTGAAATAAATACATAATTAAATGCAGAATGCCTATAATTAGAGCGATAATTATCACTGGTTACAATTAAAATACATGATGAGCTGATTCAATCACATCAGGTTAGGTGTCATGCAAAATTTGTCTGAGTAAAAGTGCTCCTTTATTGACCTTGTAGAATTAAAAGTTTTTGTGCATTTTTAAGCCATTTGTTGTCAATGCTGACAAGCGGGTTTCTTTAGTTCATTTTTCCCCCTCCACCCCTTACATGAGTTGCTCTCTCAGGATAATTCTCATGGTAGCTTGAGTATAACAAAACTGTTCTCTTTGCATTTAAGAAAGAACATATCTATGTGTTGTTATGCTAATTACTCTTAATATTGTTAATACCTTAAAATTTACACCCATGATGATCAAAGACAAAATGAATTCAGATCTTCAAAGTTGCAATTCAGCAAAACACTCAAACATGTCCTTAAATTTAAACATATACACCATGCTGGGTGTACTCCTCAGAAGTACATAGATGCTTAAATGTTCTGTTGGATGTAGTAAAGCTTAAATGAAATGAAATATGAAGTGTTTTGCTGACTGAAATCCTCAAAGGTAAATGATACTCCCACTCCGCCCGAAGCGTGCTCTGCTCTTGCATACATGACAAGTATCATGAGAGCCCTCATGCCGACAGCTGTATGAGTCTGTGAGCATAGACACTAGCCATATGACTCATGGCAACAATAGAAAGTCAGGCTGTGTGCACAATAAGAAACAGCTCTGATTATGATGAGTGGGTTTAGAGTGAGGTCAAAAGCGTTTTGATTTCAGCCATTATCTTCTTGTTGACATGTGCTTCCTTAACCTCTCCCCCTTCTACATCGATCACTATCTCTCAGAGTTCTGCATCTAAAATTACTGCTTTGAGAAAGGGGCTATATCTTTTACTCTATTCTGGAAAGTGATGTTAAAACTAAACTTTGCTGTATCTTTCAGTAGAGTGAGCAAAATACCGTGAAAAAGCTCGCTTCAGGCCCCTGCAACAGCCTCCCTAATCTCATTCTTTGTAGTTCATGGCAATGCAGGTATCAAGCCTGTTCCTTACATGGGAAACTTTTTGTGCCCACTGTCACAGTGTTAAACCTAATGGGCTGCTTGTCCTACAGAGTGTTAGGTTGCTACAAAGAACTTGCTGAATTCAGGGACTGCACATTTTCCCTTTATATATTTACCTTTTAATTTCCCTTGGATGAAGATCAGCTACCTTAATTTTTGAGTCAAGGTTTTACTTTGTTTTTAAAAAGTATAATCAAAATTTGCAATCCTTTCTTGAGCCTATTTCAGCTTGACTTAGAAAAAAACACTGACAACTGAAGGAAATTGCAACAAACTTTTGGCTTTTACTTTTTCACGTTACTTTTTTCATGTAGATATAGCATCTTTATATGGTTGAGACGGTTTTCTTTCTGACTTGATTTCTTTTTCTTACATGTGAAATGTTTTGAATCAGATATAGAATAGTCTGTGTCATACCAGAGGAACTGAAAATTAAAATGGTCTTTCATGCTGAGATTGAAGTAGCTTTTCTGTTCTATCTTCTTACCTCAGTCCTGGAGCAAATCCTGTGGATTCAGATTTTTCCAGCCATATACCATTCTACTAAGCAGGGATAACAAATAATAACTCTGTATATTTGAGCCAGTGTGTAGTCTGCTGTCACTGTATTAACAAGTTTACAGTTTGGCTGCTTATTTTGATTGGATCCCAGTTCTGTAGCATTAGAGAGCAGATGTTCCTGGTGTAATCTGATAGTCATTTTTACTCTATTTTCTAATTTGTAGTCAAGGATAGATGATTTGATGAGACCAAGACCTTTTGTCAAACCTCTACCCTACTCTACCTCAAGCTGATCCCTTGACCTGAAAGAAAGAACAAACAGTTCTGCAGTAAAATTGTTTCGTTATGTGCTGTACCTTAGTTGTGTTTAGATGAATACAGGGAACCAGTATGATTATTTGGGATAGTAGTTTTCATCCTTGCTGAGCTTCATCTATGGCTGGAAAGTAATTTTAAAGGAGACTGAAGAACCCATTTGATTTTTAAGAGGAGATTAAAATAGAGGTCTGCTGGAGTAAAAAATGACAGTATGCTGACCATGTTTGTAGCAAGAATTGGGATGCAGAGATGTAGGGCAACCAAAGAGGGAGAGCAGTTCTGCAGTAAAAGATGGTAATGTCAGCCTGTGACTGCCCCACACAGTAATTTTAACAATCTGTAATGAGAAAAAAAAGTTTCCACAAAAGTTTTTTTTTTTTTTTTCACTGCCTCGAAATGTGGTGGATATTTTAAAACACTCTAATGTAGACCTTTTTCATTCTATAGTACTCTATTCATTTTGGTCAGTCTGTCTGTTAAACATCAAAAGAAGCATATGGATCAGGTGGCATTGTACTTGTTAAGCTGAGCAAAAGGAATTCAAGTTATTTGTTCATATTCATCTATTCTCTTTTTTGATAGCTTAGCTTTTATTTATAAATATTTTAATTATTCTATAGAGATATTTTGTTTTTAATAGCACTTCTAAAGCAAATGTGAATAAATGTATTGTAAATAGATGTTAGTTTCATTATCTATTTCAATACTTTCATGAAAAATTGTGATTGTAACCCTACCTTCTCCCTGAGATGAAGTGCTGTACTGTGCTGTACCTAACACTCGATGAGAGATAAGATTAAGCATTCTAGGCAGTCTTGAAAATTCTATAATTGGAGATTGCTTATAGCTGTGTCCTTACTTTTTTTCCTCACTTTTCTCTTTCTCTGGTTTTACAGGGCACAATGACTACATGTGTCCAGCTACTAACCAATGCACCATTGACAAAAACAGAAGAAAGAGTTGCCAGGCTTGCCGACTAAGAAAATGCTATGAAGTGGGAATGATGAAAGGTGGTATGTACACAACAATGAAAACAAATCCTCAGCATTAGCGTCTGTCTTGCTGTTTTTTAAAACTTCTTTGCGTGGCTGATATAATTCCTAAAGAAGGAAGGAACTTGGTTTATTGAGTCGACTTATGTCAAATCAAAAAACAATTAAATAAAGAAACATTATAAATCCTATGATAATATACTTGGCCAAATTTCCATCAACATTAATAGGAACCATGTCTGTGGAAGCAGGATTTTTCAGATAATATTATATACATACATTTTTAACTCCACTGTAGTTAGTAGACTCAATTGTGTTGAATGAAATTTAACCCAAAATTTTGTATCATTTTGCAGTTTAGTATGAAAAATGCTGATAGTCTATATTCATTAATATAAACCTGCAAACATGTAATATTCATTCTATGAGTCCTGGAGCAGAGAGCTAATTCTTGTATTCGAAAGGTGCATACAAATATGTGTGTTAATTTCCTCCTGCAGTGCTAAAAGCCTCACTCTTATTTTAAACAAACTGAGGTAAATGTAAATGTACAAACAGCCTCTTAGAAGACACCTATATGATAATGATGTCAGCAAAGGATCATCCCTGAATGACAGTGCTGACAATGGCATACCATTTACAAAGGTGAAAGAGTTCTTTTGTAATATGGTGTGGGATTGATCATGATAATTGTCTTTCTCCTCTATGTTTCAGTACCTTATAATTATCAAAAGCATCCAGAAATTTGCTACTTTTTATCCTTTTAAATAAAACACATCCTTACAATTGAGTAATATTTAGGAAGAAAAACATAAATTTTTATGTGAGTAATAGTCACTCTAAAACAGAGGACAACTTTGTAGTAGATGAATGAATATATCAGATTGGTTTTATTAATGAAGAGTATTCACTAGCTTTATCTAAACCTATCTCTGTAGGAAATCCTAGCAAAATTGTTAAGTGTTCAAAATAAATAGAAAGGATTGGAAAATTTTATGTGTGAAAGGAGCTAATCATTAAATTGCAGATTGGTTCACCCTTTCTCATGCACATCTTACTCCATCTTACTTGCTCCATGAGAAATCTGTTTTGGAGCAAGAGAAAAGAGTGTCTTGTCATATTTATTCATCTCACAACAACCGATCAACTATAGTCCAGTCTGGGCCAACAGAATAGGCCAAGTTTGAGAATCCTGAGGGGCAGAGGGGAAAGATGAAGAGAAAGCACCACTGTCAATAATCAGGTATTTCTACATATTAAATGTCCATTTTTTTTTATCTTGAGGATGAGGTAAGAGATGAAATATTGTTAAACTAATTTCTGGGATGCAAGAAGAACAATCTCTTTTAGTTCTAAAGCTTACAATATATATTTTTACCTTTGTATATTTAATTAATGATCCAGTAAATCGGTTCAGAGGTTTTTCGTAAGTGTTCTCTATGATATGGATTGTACTTGTTTTTGTCATTGGCATGCAGGTTCTGAAATTTATATTTCATGCAGTGAGCCACACTAGTCTGTGCAACAAAAAGCAATTAAAAAATATTGAATGTGGTGTTTTTTACCTAATATGACAAGGTACATACAGCAAAAGTGTATGCATAAATCTTTCCTGCTCTTATAGGACCAGTAACAATGCAGTAAAGAACATCACTGTTTCATAGATAACACTTCATTTTACAAAGTCTGGGAAGAGTGTTTTGACATCCCTTAGTTGCAGGTTGTAAATCTGGCATGCTTGCAGATAAAGTGTTAGAGCAATGGAAAGTAATTTAAGATGTTCAAGAATTCAAGGTTCTCGTGGACTAGTTCCCAATCCAAGTAGCTTGGGAGACAGAAATCCTTTTCTTCAGTAAGAATTTGCTAATTGTCACATTTCTCTGGTCTGAAGATAAAGGTTAAGTGAACATTCTTTTTATGTAATCTGGGATGGCACTTTCAAATGTTTTTATTTGTTTTGGTTTTCACTTAGAAGATCTCTTAAGTTTTTCTGCTGTAATAGTTAGATCTCTTATAATATTTCAATACTTTTGAAGAATAGAGATTCTTGTGATTAACTGGAAGATCCATATTCTTCTGTAGTTTTCTGGAAATAATCTCATTTTGTTGATACAAAAAAAAAATCTGTTAATTAAATGATTTAATTCATTCATATATTTGGAAAAAAAATTCACCTGTCTTTTATCTCATTCCTATCTATCTAAAATTTATTTGCTTATGATGATATGGCTTTTAGAAATAGTTGAATAATTCTGCAATGTTTCTTTTCTCTACACCTATCCTCAAATGTACTTTGAATGAATAAAATGAATTAGCTGAACTTTGCTATATAAGTTGTCAAAAGTGGTAAATTGTGACTTCTGTATGTATCATATAACTTTTAAGCACTAGCTGATATTAATTGTTCAGTTTAGGAAGGATAGACAGATAAAATGTTAATTGTTCCAGCTTATTTTGACATAATTTTTAAGTTATAGTGTCTGAGATTTTTCTCGTAGTGAGTCAATTAACTGAAGACAATATAAAAGGACATACATGTAATTTTTAATAGTGCAGACACAATTGAAAAAAGTTTTGGAGGCTCACTCAGAAAAGTTGTAGGCTTCAAGTGGTTTCTCCTGAGAGATTCTATTTTTGAGTCTGTGGAAATTTTATCCTTTTTTATTTTTTTTAATCCAGCTTTGATTTGATCTTCTGAAAAGAATTATTTTCTTCTGTTTTCAAGTGTTTTCCTCTTATGTTGTTTTTAGAGAGTATTGGACAACCAGAAAGCTCTGCTGATTTAGTCAACATCTGAGGCAGAATTTATAGCTGGCATATTTTGTCCAGATGCTTCACTCTTTCTGAATAAATCCAGATGCTTTAAAATATTATGCAATTGGTTACTTAGTTTGGGCACCCCTACGTTTGTGTGTGTGCATATAAACTAATCATAAAGAATATGTTCCTTGTGCCTCATGTGCATGTGCAGCATGTGTTTGGTGGAATAGCAAAGAAGAAAGCCCCCCTTTTTTTTTTTTTATTTATCCACTGATATCTTGTTGAAGATTGTTTCTGTTTTTGTTTAGAGGAGAATATTCTAACTTACTATTTTACACCATGTTGGATCCTACATGACTTTCTCAGAGTCCAAATGGAGTTTTACAGCAATTACAATCCTGAAGCTTCAACAATGTGTATGGTCCAGGTGATCTCTGTTCCAATATAGATTTTGGTTTTAATTTCTTTAAATTTCCTTGTTTTAATTATTTATTATTGACTTGGCTTCAAAGGACCTCCATTCTCAGAAATCCAAAGCATCTTGTATTTATTATTACTTGAATATTTCAATAATACGATGAATTGATATAGTTTTCTATTTATTAGCATGCTGCGTTCTTCCTCTCCAATTATGTGTAACAAAGCAAAGTTAACATAAAGTGTCATGAGCGGAGCAGCATTGTGGAAGCTACATCAGTAGCTATGGCAAAAATTCTGAGTAACATTAAGTGCTAGATCCTTAATGAAAGGAAAAACCTCATAGTTATTTGCCTGGTAATCTTTTTTTGGTTCCCTGAAATCTACATAATTCTGTCAACTGTCAGATTCTGAGAGGCTCCAAACCTCAAGTCATATGAAAGTCATATCAGTGTTCAAGAATTTGAATGCTCATATTCCACTTCAGGATGGTGATCGCATATGTGATCAGGAGTATTTCACTGAATAGTCTGAAATTTCCTGATGTAGGTAGACGATTCAGAGTGAGTAGTGCCATTTCTCTTGATGGTGAAATTACTGCATATTTGATGCCCAAATCCTCCAATGCTACCGTCAAAGAAGTCCCTGTGGACTCTTCATATATTCCTGCAGTAGAGCAGAGAGGAGTGAAAGTTGCTGTTTGCTGTAACCACGCGCTATAACCAAATGCCAGGTGCCTGTGCAAACATTCATTAAGAGAATGGAGTAAAAGCCATTCCTTTTTTTAGATTTTCTCTTAGATATTGTTGAACTGGCTGCCCATCTGCAGCCACAGGGGAATTCTGTCTTCTTCAGTGTGACAATATTTCCAAGTAAGAGAAATTTTTACAGGGAAAAGAAAAAACACTTGGTAAATTTTGCCAATTTACCAGTCAGGAGTGGTCTTTTCTGGTTTTTGTCTTTAAATGGATACAGCAGTGCTTCCTTGCTGAATGCTGTGTTTTCTAATGCTAAATTATCAAATAAAAATGGCTAGAGGATTATTAAAATCATTCTCAGAAGCAGAGGTAAATCTATGTCTGATGCAAGAACTGGAAGGGCTCCAGACTTTCTCATTTTTCATGCTATTATCTTTTAATGAAATGTTTTATTAAAAATAGAAATTAGAGAATGAATGAAAATGGCTTTAAAATGTAAAACTATTTTGGTGTGTCCGAGGAGAGCCTCTAAGGTATTTATTAGACTTACTGTTCTGTACACAGGCAAATAGCTGCGTAGGCAGGATCTGATACACATATGAGGAAATGTACATTTTAAAGCTCTAATTGATGGGCTGAAAGCATGTACTAGAATAGCATTGAAGCAAAGATGTGTCAATTTAGAAAAACCTCTTTGAAAAGAACATGGAATTTAAATTTTGATGATTTTTTTCCCTTTTCTACAAATACCAGCTATCACTGAATTGTCTTGAAATATAATCCTCCACACCTCTGCCCCAAAATAAAGAGAGAGTGTTTTTGAGATCAGTGGACAACCTGTCTTACGTTTACTTCTACATCATAGTAGTTTTGTAAGTTTGTTTGTTTTTTAATAAAGGGTTACTGCATAAAGGTTTACTCTTGAACATTTGTTCGATATTGTACCAGCTAAGTACATCTCTATACTCATTAAAATTTACTTATTTGTTTATTTACATGCTTTAAAAATTCCTAATCAGGAATTTAATTTTAGTTGTGATATTACTTGGTAATAGACACAGCAATGTTTGAATTGTTGATAACTTTTAAATGAAGCTTAGGATCCTTGTAGTGTCAACAGCTCCATCTCCCTGTGCTTATAAAAGT